TACCTTATTCCCATTATGGTAAATTAACTAAACACATATTAAGCGATCACGTTTAGCACTTTCGGGCTAGTGGCGTATTTTTTTTATGTTTATGATCACACCGTTTGTGGTCTAATATTCGTACTAGACACTTAGGCTACAATATTAATTTTCTTTCGTGAACTGACCTCTCACAGATGATTCTACATGCCTCTCCATGCCGACAGAATTTGTCAGAGAACTAATAACCCACGTGTTGTCTAATTCCACGTTTCAATTCACTATGATCTCTTATGATTTAGTAAAGCCTGCAGTTTCAAGGCGAGCAACATGTTACACTTTAGGGTGCTAATAAATCGTCTACAGACTGAAACCACAACCACTTACCCTGTAATTTGGCAATGTTTTATATAAAACAAATCAACACAATTTTACAAACCGCAGATGTATTATCTCTGCATTTGTTATTCGACGTAGTTGCCCCTTCCGATTAGTAGTAACTAGCAAGTAACTTAGTAATGACACCCCTTTGTTCCTTATTACACACCAAAGGTTATAATAGGCCTGTTTGTATTTTTTCAGAGTATCAATTAATTACTAAAGCCTGATAATTATGGCAATTTGAAATTAAATTGCATTTTCAACCATCAAATTAGCCTTAATTATACGACTTCACTTCCCATTACATTCGCATCGGGTATTTATCACAAACCATCATCTGTACAATAAGTAGTTATTCGTTTTCCAGATAAATGCAAGTTTAACTGCTCAACACACATTTTTGCTAAATATTTTAGTTACATAAAGTACTATTGAGGAAATAATACATTAAAAAATACCAACCGTTCAAGAATTGTTTTTTCTTTGTGAAGAAAAAAAGAGTCGGGATCCGAAAAGATGTCTACTATAGAACACTACCATAGGCTTTTGGATTCTGTAGTAGACATTCCATTCATATTACAACTAGATTTAGTAGACTTTTCATTCAAATTGAATTTTGTTTGCTCTACTAATACTTGTTGTGGCATAATATATTCATTGACAGCATACTCTGTCTATAGCTCAATTAAATTAAAGTACCGAAATTAATTTAAAAATGTCAACTAATAACAATATGAACAGATGAGATTCATACTACTCTCTGTAGCAGAAAAATAATAATAAGAGTCATTATATTAAAGACAATTTTAAGCCAATTTCGTTCGGTTTACGTATAGAGTTTTTGTTGTTTACTGTTTGTTATTTAACTCATTCCAAACCTATTGTACAAAATAAAACTATATAATATAAAAATAGCTATCCTTAGGTATTCTAACCTAACAGTAAAGCTCACTAGTAAAATATATCATAAATTAAAGTACATATGTCTTATCTTTAGCCTAAACCTGCTCCAAGTTATACATACGAGATATATGACTCGTATATGACTCGTATATGACGTGTGGTCAACAAGTACAATTCAAAGTAATTGTAACGTGAAAACTATGAATACTCGTATGTAGGTACGTTTAGGCCTCACTTTAAATCAATGACTGAGATTACTTTTCAATCAGCCGATAGTCCATACGACAGACTATGTTGATGCAGCTAAAGTCAACGGTCAGGGTTACTGTGTTCATGTCCAGACTACGACTACAAGATGACTTATAACGTCACCATCATAGCTAGTCTATCTCAATCACTTTAACCTTTTTACTTGCAGTCCTTGATGCTTCAAGATTGTCTACTTACAAGCAAGTATTAAATATGTTTACAGGAAAACAGAACCAACTCTTTCTAGGAGCATTCGACGTAAAATGTAAATGAGCCAAGGTTAAATGTATCTGTTTACTTGTAAACTCGAAAAATTAAAAACTTTAATAATGAATAATTTATTTTGCTTTAGCTTAAAATGAACAATAATATCGGTTAACTTAATTTGTTTGCTTTTCGTATTTACTTTTATAGAAGGCGTCGAGGAGGGATATGCTGTTTTTTTTTTTTTCGCGGAACCAGATTGTTTAAGGTCATAACTGTATTTGTATCACTGTCATTTTATACTAAGCTATTAATACTTTACTAAAACACACTTTAATACCCTCAATGTATATTTAAAATCTATTATGATTAAGCAATCAAAACGGTACAATTTAAAGTATTTGGAACCAGCAACAAAATTAGTTTGTATAATAAATAGATGTAAGAAGTACTTGGAAGTTTCAAGTGTCCGAGCGTACGTGTGTGTACAAGTACTTTGACATGAACGAGCACGTGGTGTACAAGAATGCGCATCACATTCCGAGCGAACACATCACATGAGTTTCCACAGAGTATGATATGACCTTGGATTACAAGGGGTTATTACGTTTAATTACTCTATGGGCAAACGTGATTGTAGCCACTATTAACAGCCAATTACCGGAGAACATCTGTATTACAGGATGTAGTTATCGATGGCGTCTGTCATAATTTGCCCTTTATTGTGGAAATCCTTCTGTAATGATGCGTTCTTGTTTGGTTTTGGGAATTTAATTTGTTGTAGCGTGCGAAAATGTTCCAAAACAGGATAAGTGAATATCTGTTACAACATGCATCTCTAATAAATGGACGTTAAATATATGACAGGATTATTACTTGGGGAAAGACATTTAAGTCCAGTTAAATGCAAAATGAATGTAACGACTTAATTGTATAGAGAAACATTTTAAATAGAAATATATTATAATAGGTACTCATAATAATTTCCCAAGGGTAATCTATCTATCTATCTATAATATTAAAACGAAACAGTGTTTTTTTTATTTCACGATTCTGAATCAACCACTCGACGGATTTTCATGATTTTTGTGTTGAAAAAAGATAATTTTGAGAACTAGGGAATGTCGAAGCCATAATTTTAGTTTAGGGTCCCAGTTTTTTTTTAAATTAAGTTTTAATTTTTAAATAGAATAGCAGCCGACGCTAAGATTCTAAACTAGCTTTTGGCATAAAATAATTTGCTTAACATAATAGCTGTAAACATTCAGCTTTTGTGTCACAAATTCAGCATTTGGATAAAAATGTAAAGACATACTTAGGGTTGACTTATTTATACTATGTGTAATGCTAATCATTGATACGTTCAATTCTTCTGTAAGAGGATGACGGATTAATTAAATATACATAGTAAAATACTAGGATGTTCAAATTATTTTTTAAAGCAATCTTTTATTTGTTTTAGAGCAATATAATTTGTTTTAACAGCTGGTTAAATAAAAACTATGGAACTATGAGGTTATTTTATTTACTCTTTTTTTTGTCATTGATTATAGGCAATAAGTAAGATTAGTAGAGATAATTAGACCACAGTTTAAAATAGTTTAGACCAAAATTAATTAAACCAAAGTACAAATCGAGGCTCTGTACACGAGTCTTAATAAAAATGGATGAATGTAAATTATTTTACTGCTCCACTTTTCAAGGAAAGATTAGAAAAATAACAATGTTTACATGTTTTAATTCTTCATGGTAGCTTTCTGTTTACAATTAATGTTTGTCTGCTTTAACTTTGTTTGGATTAGGCCCGGAAATATTGATGTCATAAAAAGAAGATCAAGAATAATCAGGAATCACGATTTTAAATTACCACCATAACCTCAGCCGGGTTTTATACAAAGATAAACAGATGGCTGACATAGATTGAACACAACGTCAACATTGACCTAGGATACTGCAATTAGACAAACCATCCTTTTATGAAATCGTGTTCAGTTGTGGTTACGTTTGGGGGTGCCTATATCAGCACCCCCAAACGTGAAAATATCACTTTTATTTATACTATGAATATATTGTAGTTTAAATTAACTAATATGGGAAATTACAATGTACATTTATTCAATGAGGGTGGGTAATTATCAAGGATAGATCTGATAACGGTATGGATAATAAACATTGACAATTACGTCACTAGCTTTAATAGCGTGTTTACTTTTTATATTCCTGCTACATGTGACCATTTCTTTTTTTCAAATGAATGTTATTTGAACCAAACAGCTGTTTCAAAACAAACTGTTATTGTTTTTACTTTTCTTTGTTTACACTTATTTATTTAGCAATTAATGCAGTGAAATTGATCTATAAGTATAAAAGAGGATGTTTGTATATATATATATATATATATATATATATATGTTTGGCAGTGATAAACTCAGACACCGCTGAACCGATTGCCACGAAACTTGGTACATACGTGTAGAATTTCATGGAATAGGTTTATACACCATCAATTTCGTGATCCGTCCAATCGGCTCCAATCGTCCAATCGGTCCAATCGGAGCTGTCCATAAGCTTTCAGTAAGTGGTCCAGGATTAAAGAAAAAACTGATCTTTGTCAGTAACAATCCTAGTGTGTGTTCGTTATAAAATACGGCAAACGTTAACTACTACTGTACATGAGTTATTCTTTCGTACGTGTGTCAGTAGAAGTGTGTTTGTTCCAGAGTCCGTTCCTGAAAACTATCCAAAGCGACTTGGCGTTCGCAGTGTGTGTTCTGTGCTCTTGTACATAGTGCCAGTTAAGTGTGTTTGTTCCAGAGTCCGTTCCTGGAAACTATCCGGAGCGACTTGGCGTTCGCAGTGTGTGTTCTGTGCTCTTGTACATAGTGCCAGTTAAGTGTGTTTGTTCCAGAGTCCGTTCCTGGAAACTATACGGAGCGACTTGGCGTTCGCAGTGTGTGTTCTGTGCTCTTGTACATAGTGCCAGTTAAGTGTGTTTGTTCCAGAGTCCGTTCCTGGAAACTATACGGAGCGACTTAGCGTTCGCAGTGTGTGTTCTGTGCTCTTGTACATAGTGCCAGTTAAGTGTGTTTGTTCCAGAGTCCGTTCCTGGAAACTATCCGGAGCGACTTGGCGTTCGCAGTGTGTGTTCTGTGCTCTTGTACATAGTGCCAGTTAAGTGTGTTTGTTCCAGAGTCCGTTCCTGGAAACTATCCGGAGCGACTTGGCGTTCGCAGTGTGTGTTCTGTGCTCTTGTACATAGTGCCAGTTAAGTGTGTTTGTTCCAGAGTCCGTTCCTGGAAACTATCCGGAGCGACTTGGCGTTCGCAGTGTGTGTTCCGTCCTCCTGTACCGCTAGAGATGTCAAGGTTCACATGGACGTCGCTCTCAACTCTGTCAACGCCAGTGCTATCATACACCCTCACAGCTGCTCTACCTCCGTACCTCTGCCATACACCGCTGCCGAGATAGTCTCAATGTAGGTACCTGCACAAATACATAAATAAATCTTACACTTTATACAGAGTGTCCCAGACCACCCGGCCGGCTTCTATAACACCAAAATAAAAGTAAATAGAAACCAATGGTCTGGGACACCGTGTATATTCACCATCCTTGATCAACTGAAGACAAATTTAAAATTTGTGTTCAATAACGCTTGAGTTCATTCGTGTTTCTAGTTTATACTGAGTTGATGTTACTAAATTATTATTATTGAGATATGTTAAATACCTATCGATTAAATCCTTGTCCACTGTTATGACATTCTATGATTGATTAATAGAAAAAAATCGACAGTTAACTCAAATTATATATTAACTCAAAATTAACAGTGTAACAAAATTAAAAGCTAGAATGAAAAAGGCTGACAATGACATGTAGGGTTTCGTGATGGTTGGAATAGGCTAAAATGATTAGGCCTAGATGAATAAAATAATGTCCAAATAAGTTGTAACGCACAATATTCCAACGATGAAATCAAATTTTAGTTTGTTCAAAAGGTATGTCTAAAATGTCCACTAAATTTACTAATAGGTAAAAAGTAAAAGGTAAATGTTAAAAATAAAGTTCAAATTAGGTCTTCTTAAGGTAAAAATTTAAGATACTTATAAACAAATAATAGTATAAATAATGATTTATAATTTCATAGTTACATATGCCTTTGTATAAAAAACTTAATGCTCAGAAAGTAATGTTTGTAAAACATTCAGTTACGTGTGATGCTTTGATCGTTTCAGATTCATCATTATTGTCATACTAGTGATGATAGTTCTCAGCACGATATACGACTCTAGATGCAAAGAATCAGGTAAGAAACTACAACTACATTTGAATATACTAAATTATTTGTTTTTTAAGCTCTTTAAAAAGGTCTAGAGAGAAATTGAGACATTTTGTGTTTTAAGGGTCAAAAATGAGAAAACCCAATTTTTACCCCATAAAACCTCCCGTAAAACCCCGTTCCCATGGTTTGATCAGGCTGGTTCGCGAACTCATTCAAGTTTATCCCGCCTTACACCTTTAAACCAAATTTCATCAAAATCGAACAAAAATTACTCAAGTTATCGCGTTCACGTATATATATATATATATATATATATATATATATATATATATATATATATATATATATATACACACACACATATATAACAATTTGAACGAATGGTGTTTTTGGCTCTGGGGACATCAAAATGAAAAAGTAAATCGGTCCCGGGCCTAGGTCTTACCGTGCCACCTACGGTAATAGCTACTTCCCTATAGGGAAATTCGCTAATAAATCGTTTGTGAAACTAAAAAATAAATATTTTAATAGTTTTTTAATCTATTAATATAAACTTTTACATTGTGTTTGCAGTGTTTGATATATTTTGTAGCGGGTACCTTCACTCAATGAAACCACCTCAAACATATTTTTATTCCGATCTTACGTGCATGTACATAATCCATAAGGAATATCATAATTAATTAATCAAGATCCTAACGATAATTGTCCTAAATAGTGTTTTAATATTTCCAGGAGGGCATATCTTAACCAACCTTATATCCATTGTGCATACACCAATGTTTAAACCAGTCTGCGTGACTACAAATTATTTTTAGTTTAAGATTTTTGTAAAAACTAATTTCAAATTACGACTAGGCCTACTTGTTGATATATTCGGAAAAGAAAAACTTGACTCCTTTAGGAATATAAAAGTTTTTCATCAAAGATATTTTATATTGTTTATAGGTCGAATAATTTTGTATACTGGACTGCTAGCAGCGTGGTCGCTAGGAGCTAACATTGGTCAGATGGTGGACACCTCCACCACGACCGCTGCCATCACATGTTTGCCAAGTTTGAGCCTATATTTATTACTTGTATTTATTATCCTCAGACCGCAACGGACTGCTAGCAGCATGGTCGCTAGGAGCTAACATCGGTCAGATGGTGGACACCTCCACCACGACCGCTGCCATCACATGTTTGCCAAGTTTGAGCCTATATTTATTACTTGTATTTGTTATCCTCAGACCGCAACGGACTGCTAGCAGCATGGTCGCTAGGAGCTAACATTGGTCAGATGGTGAACACCTCCACCACGACCGCTGCCATCACATGTTTGCCAAGTTTGAGCCTATATTTATTACTTGTATTTGTTATCCTCAGACCGCAACGGACTGCTAGCAGCATGGTCGCTAGGAGCTAACATTGGTCAGATGGTGGACACCTCCACCACGACCGCTGCCATCACATGTTTGCCAAGTTTGAGCCTATATTTATTACTTGTATTTGTTATCCTCAGACCGCAACGGACTGCTAGCAGCATGGTCGCTAGGAGCTAACATTGGTCAGATGGTGGACACCTCCACCACGACCGCTGCCATCACATGTTTGCCAAGTTTGAGCCTATATTTATTACTTGTATTTGTTATCCTCAGACCGCAACGGACTGCTAGCAGCATGGTCGCTAGGAGCTAACATTGGTCAGATGGTGAACACCTCCACCACGACCGCTGCCATCACATGTTTGCCAAGTTTGAGCCTATATTTATTACTTGTATTTGTTATCCTCAGACCGCAACGGACTGCTAGCAGCATGGTCGCTAGGAGCTAACATTGGTCAGATGGTGAACACCTCCACCACGACCGCTGCCATCACATGTTTGCCAAGTTTGAGCCTATATTTATTACTTGTATTTGTTATCCTCAGACCGCAACGGACTGCTAGCAGCATGGTCGCTAGGAGCTAACATCGGTCAGATGGTGAACACCTCCACCACGACCGCTGCCATCACATGTTTGCCAAGTTTGAGCCTATATTTATTACTTGTAATTGTTATCCTCAGACCGCAACGGACTGCTAGCAGCATGGTCGCTAGGAGCTAACATTGGTCAGATGGTGGACACCTCCACCACGACCGCTGCCATCACATGTTTGCCAAGTTTGAGCCTATATTTATTACTTGTATTTGTTATCCTCAGACCGCAACGGACTGCTAGCAGCATGGTCGCTAGGAGCTAACATTGGTCAGATGGTGAACACCTCCACCACGACCGCTGCCATCACGTGTTTGAATGGTCTACGAGTGATCGCCATGCTCTGGGTCATCATTGGTCACCGCACGCTTCACTTATTAAGCTTTCCATCTCTACGATACCGTGCCATACCAGAGGTATGATCATTCATTCCATCTTCTTCTAGCACAGTCTTATACTCATTTTCACTTGACTTTGTCCTACGTCCCGGTTTCAACAACTGTATACAGGCGCAAGTCTTATATAATCGTCGTTTATGATTTACACTAAATTTTGAACTATTCGAGTCATCCACGTCTTTTATATGTTTTGAGTTATTTTAAATTTTCCCCACCTCCTCAAACATAGTTTTTTGTCATATTTTACTGGTGCCATTAAACAGTTTAAAATGATCTTTTTGAGGGTTGCTTATTCGAGCCATCAGCTTTCAGAATGACAAGGTCAAAACGATATATGGGCGATGTTTTTAGCTAACAGTAATAGGCCTAAACAATGTTCAATAAAATTCAAAACGAAATTTTCTAGAAGAAAATTTTGCAGTTAAAATTAACATAACACGATGAACCATTTGATTTGTTTTCTCAAAGTGCTATCGCTCTTGCTGATACAAAACTCGGAGTGCCTAAAAAGTAACGTTAAAAGTAGCTCTTAGAGACACTGAGCCAGCTCGTGTTGTGGTTAGAGCGCGGGACATCGGTCCCAAAGGTCCCGGGTTCAAATCGTGCCAAATCACCAATGGAATTTATCTAATAACCCAGTAACCTTGTTATAAAAATCAGGGTCTACCTTGCATGAAATGGGGTAGTAGGTTTCTTTTTTAATGTTGTTTGTAATAGTACCGAGTTGCTAAATCCAAATTTTCGACCTCGGCGACCTTCCGGATCACCTCCAAAAAGCTTAAAAATCGGCGGAATTTCGCACTATTTTTACGTTTGTAAAACAACAACATATTATATTTTTTCTCTTTTTTTATGGAAGAAATCTATTGTAATTAAAATGTTTATATTATCAAGAGGAATTGATATAAAGAATGAAGAGGCAACAGTAAAAACAAGTTTTAACTTTGCTGTCGTTCTGCCATGCTATATATTACTTCTTTTATGCCAAGTGTTCACATCTGTACCTGCAGGATATGTTGAAATTAGGAAACAAGATGGATTTCAATAGACACCAGTTATTTACCACCAACGGGTTCTTCACCATTGCAGTGGCGGATCTAGAACAGTCACAAGGGGGGGTGTGAACCGGGGGGTCTGGGGTCTTTTTTAAAATTTCTTTGTCCAATAATAGTCTGACAAATAATTTTATGCAATGTGTATGCACTACTGTATTACATGCAGTAAATATATATATATATATATATATATGCCCGAGGGGGGGCGGTCGCCCCCCCCCCCTTCTGGATCCGCCACTGCACCATTGTGCGTTCTGAAAAGTTCTAGACGGGTGTTTGGACGGACATGACTATAAAACAGGTGTTCATTTGCCTAATGAAAAGCTATGTAGGTTTGACTCGGGACCGTGGTATAGCTGACACCGGGCTCACCCGATGGACAGTAGGAATGATATAATTTACCTGTAGAATATAAGTGATGAGGTTGAGGAGTAGGCCTACTGCAATGTTAAGGCACATACAACTGAGTAGCATGTAGAAATGATCAAATGAGACCCTCACGAGTCACTTGAGTTGAAGCGAATACAGAGAAGTTGTGTGACCGGTTACTTCGTCACCCTCCATTCCCTAATACTCATGTTATAATGTTCTTAAGCAGTGGAATTGTTGGAAGGAAACTGTCAACTATCATATGGCTAGAGATATTGGCAATGAAGCGATGTTGAGAGTTTTATGAGAAAAATATAAATAAGTCAGATACAAAAGGAAGAATTAAGTAGTATCTCTTTCTTCCGATGTTCATACTGTGACTGTTGCAATATAAAGGTGCTATTGACCCCCTCACACTGTGTCACAGGCTATGCGTTCTGAAGCAGTCGGATGAAGAATTAAAGCACTTCTTCACACATGGATTTTCACCATTACCCTTGTCTCAATTGAATGAAAAACTAAATTATAGTTCACACATCCAAACGTCTCAAGTTAGTCATACAAGTCAATCTTCAACTGATACCCCTACAGAACGAGTCCATGTCCAAGGGTACAAGGATCATCTAATCACAGACACAGTCGCCCTCAGTGTTTTCCAACCTGCTCCCGCGGCGATACAATTAAATAAATACCGTTCGTCACAGGCCTGTGTTCTATTCCCGAGAACAATTTATTGTAACAATGTACGTGTGTGTTTATGTAGATAGATATAATAGATTTATTTCCATAAAAAAATTTTTATAACACAATCTGTTCTTGAGATGAAATAAATTAGCTTATTTCTTATTATGGTTCTTTTATAAAAATTGACAAAATTTAATAGCTTGAAACTTAAAATACAAGCATTTAGGGAAGATTTTATGAACCTTGAAGAGGCATATCTCTAAATGTGTTAGGCCTATAATCACCATTTTGGTCTTAAATTGTGAGTAATTTAATCTAGTTTTAACATAATTATAGTTGTTTTAATGAAATATAATTATAAATTTATGCTTTAGGGTTAACGTTAGCCAAACTTAAAAAAAAATGGAAAATTTGGTAATTTTAGCCGTTGTTTGCGGAGTCATATCTTGAAAACTATTAGGCCTGTAATAACCATTTTGGTCTTAAATGATAGGTAATTTAATGCACTTTAAAAATGATTATGGTAGTTCTTTATGAAAAAGTGATGCTTCAGGGTCAAAATCGGACAAACGTAAAAATAGTGCGAAATTCCGCCGATTTTTAAGCTTTTTGGAGGTGATCCGGAAGGTCGCCCAGGTCGAAAATTTGGATTTAGCAACTCGGTACTATTACAAACAACATAAAAAAAGAAACCTACTACCCCATTTCATGCAAGGTAAAATGGGTTAGGTTACTGGATTATACTGTACTGTGAAAAACGACCCCGGGCTCGTGCCTAGCGTCCTAGGACAATCAAAGTACGATACATGAGCAATTTCAAACCTCTAACTCGATTGAAAAGTATCATTTCTTGTACTGAATCGTGTAAAAGATAGACTTTAAACTTAATTATTAGTTTACACAGTCAAATTTCCAACTCCTTACAGTACCTAGTTGGTGTTTGTTTAAACATTTTATCACAAAACTTATTCAATAATTGTCTTTACTGTCTCTACTGTCAGATTGTTGCCGTATATTCTGTTTCATTATTAAAAAAAAAAAAAAAAACGCGTGTGGTCTTAAGGTCTTTTTCAAATTTTGAGAAGTATCGATGGGATCATAGTGATTAGGATCTCCAGTTTTCAACAAATAATATTTTATATAGAAATGTTTGATCTCAGGGAAGAAGTTAAAACTTCACTCAATGAGATAAAGAAGGAAGAACCAAAGAAATCTCAAATTCAAAAGCTTGCGATAACGTTATTAATTTTGAGCTTATCTGATCCTGTACAGTTTACATGCACCTGTTGGCCTTCCTAGTCCAAGCTCCAACGGATAATTATCACAGTTCAGGCCATTAATCAAAACGAAAATCTACCTTTTTATGTGAGCAAAACCTGCTTGACCGTTCGAAATCACATTTACACATTTTATCCTGATAAGCGTTAGTACTATGTAATTAAATTTTATTATTATCTATTGAGAATTATTGGTTTTAGCGAATTTCTCATATAGGAATAAGCTACTACCGTAGGTCTCATGGTAAGACCTGGACCCGGGAGGCCGGGACCGATTTAATTTTTGGTTTTGAGGTCCCCAGAGGCCAAAAACAACATTCGTTCAAATTCATATATAAATTGTGTCCCGTAAGTAAACAACTAAACTCTAGAAAATGGTTCAAAATAAAGAGAAAATCAAGAAAAACATTTTTTTACATAATCGCTTCGTTAATCAGAAGTTTATAACCATCTTGTTTTTTTCACATAAATATTTTTATCTTTGCATTTTTTTAACCGACCATATGAAACTTGGTATTTGTGTTGAGGTAAAACAGACCGACGTTAAAAATGTATCTTAATCCAAATAAAAATATCGAAATGGTGGCCATTTTATTTTTTTACATTAAAATTATTAAAAATGGCCAATTTTATGAAATAATTTAAATAACCACCATTTTGATATTTGTATTCGGATTAAGATATTTTTTTATTAAATGGTGGGTTTGAAACCATTTTAAGGCATTTTGACAACACAACATTGCCTCTTTTGCATACTGACCCAGTTGCAAGGCACAGGGTATAGCGGCTAGTACTGTAAAATAATAATGTAGCATAACCTATCTTGTCTTTAACCCTGTAAATTATTCCATGGTTAAACCTTATCTGTATATATTTTATCAGTAAATTTCGTAGTGAAATAGTGAAATTTTTACTTGAAAAATTTACTGATAAAACCAATAACTGTGTAATGTATAGGTTTGTATTTTTAGAAACGTAACAGTCTTTAATTATTACACGCTCGCGTCCCAATGATAATAGAGTTATGAGAACAATTAGATAAACAAGGGCCAGACTCTATTAAATAACAAATTTTGTTTCTTTATTCAAATAGTGTTATATATATTAGTAATTTATCATCAATTATATTTGAGGATTTGTTTATCCCATATTGGTATTGAGAAATGGCTGTGAGCCTATCCGCTATAATTATTCTACAAAGTAAATTCAGGGGGGGCTGATAAATTGTTTTTAATGTTTTGACTATTTTTAAAGCTTTCATCAACCATAACATTTGGCATGTTTCACATCTTTGTAACCGTAAGTTTGTCACTTTCAATTTCAATGATAATAAATTAAATGTATTACGGAAAGACATTACGTTGAATGCGCGATTTCAAAGGAGCTTACCAAGTTACCCAACGGAGATGTCCGACGGCCCGACTCACAAATCAGATGTTTTAATTGTGCAGGTGTTATCTCAATTGTTTCCTCATAGCGCTAATCAAGTAGGCATCCGATATTTTAAAACGAGGAAATTATCACGTATTTAGCCGCGTTGTTTTCAGATTATTTTCACGACTCAAGCAACAGATATTTTAAAACGAGGAATTCGTCACCATCATTTCCTCATTATTGCCACACTCACATTAGA